ATTTGAAAGCAAATTTGGTATGCCCCCATTAAATCTACGAGTTTTAAAACTTAAAGATTGGAGATGAAGAGCGAAAATTGTCCCACCGAGCGTGCCAATTTGTAAAGCATAAAAATTCAAACCTGCAATATATGATTAAGGAGGTAGAAAAATATACGAGAACAATAATTTTATGGATAATTTGTGGGTTACAACTCCCGTAGATCTCTTGATTCCTCTCTCCAAAGGGTTAGGGTTTTAATATGTTTATAGTACGGGGCCTTGTCGGCTTAATCCATACTTTATACATACAATGTTTGGAAAAAGGGAGGAGATAGGAAACAATGATCTCTTTATATAGAGAGTCGTAGAGTAGCAAACAAGATAGCTATCTTAATATTGTACGAGATCTTGAAGATAAATATCTTATATTTTTCGATATTATCTCCTTATTTACATATATTTGACACCTAATAATTAACAAATTCCGGCCGGTGTCAACAGTTTGATTGAACAATTTGTTGAGCCTTTTGGTAGATCTTGTAATTCCCTTTCAAGTAATATCCTTTGGGCTAGTGTCAACGAGTTCGAATACCTCATTATAACAACCAATTCCTCCAAAACTAATGCGTATCTCAGAAAATATGTAACAAATGCTTGCACCCATTTAGCCCTCGGATGATGCATTATCTCAATTCTTTTGAGGTGCGACTCCAAACAAGATGGGATCGTTTCACTTTTATTCCAATCATCAACTTCTTGTAAAACTTTGTCATTCCAATAATCGTTCAATTCCTGAAAATGTCATATGTTCATATCATTATAGATAATCGATTTAAGAGTGGATGAACATGTATTAAAAAAAACGCGCTAACCTGAAATGAAATCGTCTCTAGAACAGGTGAAGCATGAAGCATCTGCAGCACTACTTCATGACGAAATTGAAATCCATCAAGTTGTAAATGATATAAATTACAAAACACGGGCAGCTTATTACCCTTTAATCCGCATTTTTTGAGACTCTAGCACTAGAGAATAGTATAATAGTTAGTTTCATGAATTAATTTTGTAGCTAATATAATTGTAACACAGGAATTAAATTATTCAACAAACAAACCTGGAAACACCTTGGGCCAAGATATAAGTATTCAACATTGGACAATGATCTCAACAGCCTTACTCCTGATGTCGTCAAGGGCATATTTAAATCCAATCCGATAGAATATTCTAGATACTTCAAATTAGGGGCATCAAGAATTAACTTATTTTTCTGACTATCATCATTACTTAAAGTTTTATCTTATAACTAAACTACTAAGAAAAGGTGTAGAAATAACATCAGTGATAGGTTCATCCCTTATCCTGCTTCCTGTCAAAGCTAGGCATTCGAGTAATGGACAACTCGAAACTAGCCTACTTATAATATCTTCGTCATTGAAATGAATTGAATGCAGGCATAACACTTTCAAGTTTGGCAAATTAAAAGACGATGGAAGTTGAAGATGTAGACCCGCATGTAGTTTTAACACCTCCAATGTTTGACACTTGAAAAGGGCTAATGGTACCTTATTACCGCCATACCTAAAACGAGCATCAACTTCATAGATTGTACAGGTTCAAAAGACTAAACATAGTTATTCTTTCACATCTGCACCCAGTTCGTACGTAGGAGCTCTAAGCCTATCTGCTGTTGCGAACGCAACGCGTTGTCAATAAATCTATTATGCTTATCAAGTGTATCCCGACGCAAATCATCAATGTCGAGCCGGGTAATCAAGGCAAAGACATCCCGCCATCTCTTTGATAATACACATGTAGTAGCCGCCTCTTTTACGGAAAGCCGAAAAACTATTTCGCTTAATAAATCATCTGGTAAACTGCTTATCCTATCGATTTCGGCCATTGTTTGCACATGTCCAGGGTCTAAATTATTATTATGCCTGCAATTCAAATAGAAAATCATATATACTCAGTTAGCGAGAAGTATAAATGTCTTTGGATCTTTCATCGACGAGTAGGCGATTAATTGAAATTGAATGATGAAGAGGTCTGTTAGGTCGGATTCATATAATGATCACCTTTTTTTTTTTTTTTTCCCCTTGGATACCCAATTGCTTTAGCGAGAGATTAGCCCATTTAGCCTTACATGGCCCAATTAGGTCCGTTCTTCAAAAAACATATGCTCGTGCTAATTTTTACTAAAATAAATTAAACTAGATATAAGCCCGTGCGATGCACGGTTTTAGTAATTATTTTATTTAATTTAAAATTGTGTATATTTATGAAGATAATTTTTTTTTTTTTTTTTTTTTTTTTTTTTTTTTTTTTTTGCTGATAAAGAGGGAAATCCCAAAGACAAAAAGAAAAATAAAAAATAAAAACAGACTACTAACTAATAAACCGAGGTGAAGTCACCTCAGTTATGTCCTCCCAAAGAAGCTTTTTTATCTCGATCGGAGGAGCATCAAGATAAATAACCCTCTCTTGAAGGACTACCCCTAGATTAGCCAACCTATCGGCTACCTTATTTCCTTCCCTAAAGCAATGATTAATCACTACATTACAAAACAAACTAACAAGATTACGACAATTGTTTAAGATGTGATGGCACTCGCCTCCTTGATGATTTGCATTTTTGATTGCTTCAACACAAGCTTGATTGTCTAGCTGAATAACTAGCTTAGTAATTCCCTTCTGTTTCGCCATTTGCAAGCCTAGTTCAAGAGCGAGTAATTCAGCCTTGAATGCGTTGCAGACCCCAAACGATGCTTCAATCCCTTGATGAACAATCCAGTACAATCCCTGATTACACCTCCACCACCAGCTGGCCCAGGTGCGCCCTTTGCAGCTCCATCTGTGTTTAAGGCGAACCAATTTGTTGGGGGAGGGTTCCATTATACAAAGATTTCATGCCTCGATTTCCTTCCTAGTATGGCACCCTCCTGATTGAGCAGATCAGATTGCATAGCATTCCAAGTTTCCTCCGCTTTAGCTCGTATGAAAGAGCCAGTGTCAGGAGGAATTTCCTCGTTTCTTCCAAAGGCTATACTATTTCTCCATTTCCATATCCACCATAGTGTCATTGCAAAGCAAGTGGGCCATTTCTCAGGGAAAGCTAAGTCTTTAGCCTCTAAATTTCGAATGAACCATTGCTCTAGAGTTCCAGAGAAGAAAGAAGGTTGAAGCGCTGCAGCTCCTACACTTTGCCAAATACTACGGGACATGGGACAGTCCCTAAGCAGATGTAGGACTGTTTCATCAGTATTGAGGGAGCATCTTCCACATCTAGGGTCTTCTGCTAGCCCTCTTTTGACCCTATTAGCATTACACAGAATGCACTCATGTAAACTCATCCACATGAAAGCCCGAATCCTTTGCTGAACTGGGGTTTGCCAAGCCAACTTCCATTTCAGGCTTTTGGGAGCAGACCCCTGTTCTTTCATTATTTCCAGAGCATATTTTATTGAGAATTTCCCATTATTTGGCCCCTTCCAATATCTCAGATCGCCCACTTCTGGGTTTTCCACCAGCTTGTGTGCTGCAATGAGTTGCAGGCAGGGAGTAGGTAGGAGGTGAGCAAATAAGTCCCATTTCCAACCCCTTTCTATATCCCACATTTCTTCCACTATAACTCCATCCAAATCTGCTGGAATTATGGCTATAGCAGAGTCACGCAAAGGTTCATCAGATGCCCAACAGTGATCCCAAAATAGGGTAGATCGACCATTACCCACAACAACCTTTGATCCCTTTTTCAACCAGTTCGCATTATCCGTAATGCCCCTCTAAACATTTGACATGTTAGAAGTTGGAATGAACATGTCTATGTCACATCTCCTGCTACAATACTTATGACGCAAAACTCTTTCCCATAAAGCATTAGGTTCTGTCAATACTCTCCACCCAAGCTTGGTGAGGAATGCGGAGTTCGATTGCCTAGCAGATCTTATTCCGATGCCACCTCTATCTCTCGGTTGTTGAAGGGTATCCCATGATAAAAGATGAATGCGTTTTTTTTCCTCCGTACCTCCCCAAATAAACCTCCTGGTTCGCTTATCGATGTCATCACAAATCGATCGGGGGATTTTTGCGGTTTGTATAGAGTAGTTAGCCATGGTAGAGAGAGTTGATTTAGCAAGTGTGATCCTCCCTGCTAATGACAGGTATTTAGTCTTCCAACCTGAGAGACGTCTGTCAATCTTTTCACACAAGTGAGCAAAAGTTTCTCTTGTGACCCGACTTGTCAAGGTTGGCATGCCTAAATAAAAGCCCAAATCTTCCGTACTTTCCACTCCCAACTCTCTGTTTATATCTTGTTGAATCTCAAGAGACACATTTCTGGAATAATACACTCGCGATTTGGGGAGACTTACACGTTGCCCTGAAGCCTTGCAAAATCTGTCCAAGCAATCCCTTATGACAGTGGCCTGAGATGTTGATGCTTCCGCAAATAAAATCAAGTCGTCGGCAAAAAATAAGTTTGACAATAAAGGACCCCCACGACTTGCATAAATTGGCTTCCACTTCTCCAAAATTACAGCCTCTTCAATAACTTGGTTCAACCGCTCCATACAAAGCACGAACAAGTATGGTGATAACGGATCACCTTGGCGAACCCCTCGAGAAGGATAAAAAATTTCTGATTTTTCACCATTCCATAGGACTCTCATGGAAGGAGATGTCACACATTACATAATCACCTCTACTAATAAAATTGGAAATTTCATGTCAAGCAGGGTGTTACGAATGAATGACCATCTTAGGCGGTCATACGCCTTTTCGAAGTCAATTTTGATTGCCATGTATCCCTTCCCTCCTTGCTTGCGTTTCATGGTATGAATCACCTATTGAACGATAACAATGTTATCGGTAATTTGTCTACCCGGAATAAAGCTTGTTTGAGAATTTGACACTACCTTAGGGAGGATAGGTTTAATTCTATTTACAATAGCTTTAGTGATGATTTTGTATGCAACATTTCATAATCCAATGGGCCGGAATTGAGCTGGAGTTTCTAGATTTTAAAGTTTTATAAGGAGGACAAGAAAGGTTTCATTAATGGTGTCCGGTAAACCCCTTCCTTCTAATGTTGGCAGAGCCATTGCATAGACATTTGGGGCTACAAGTTCCCAGTTTTTCTGATAGAAGATGGCTTGAAACCCATCGGGTCCGGGAGCTTTGAGCGACCCCAATGAGTTTACAGCCAGTTCAATATCACATTTGGTGAAAGGGCGCACTAAATTACACCAGTCAGAATGTTCAAATTCAGTGCTCACCCCAGAAGGGATGTCCTGTTCTTCCTCGTTGCCTTCATCTTTGAACAGATTTGCAAAGTAATCAACGACTATACCCTTGACCTGATCTTTGTCATACACCCATTGATCTTCCTGATTCTTGATAGCCACAATATTGTTCTTCCATCTCCTAACCACTGTGCTCATTTGGAAGAAAGTAGTATTGCGATCACCATGCTTCAACCAGTCAACCCTCGCTTTTTGATACCACATCAATTCCTCTTGATTAAGCACTGTATCAAGCTCCCTTCTGAGTTTAGCTACTAACTTGATAAGCCCTGAATTCCTTTTGTGGGAAAGCTTTTTTTTAATTCCCTCAATTCTGGCCATTAAATTGCGCTTTTCACGAAATATATTATGAAAAATTTCTTTATTCCAAAGCTGCAAGTCTGATGATAATGCCTTGAGCTTAGGAACCAGAGGTGCTGTTGAGTCCCATTTTTCATGTATAAAATCCGAGAATTTTTCGTGAGTGAGCCAAGCGGCTTGAAAGCGGAATGGTCGATTTACTGCCTCTAATGGGACAAACCCATTAGGTGAGATGAAGATAGGACAGTGATCTGATTGTAAGGCTGGAAGGTGACGCATCTGAGCTTTATCGAACCTCATACCCCATTCCCCTGTACAAAGAGCCCTGTCAAGGCGAGCACTTCTCCTTGTCTCTACCGAATTGCCTCTAGCCCAAGTATACGCTGGACCGGAAAATTCAATTTTCACCAGATTATTTTCATGAATCCAATGGTTAAATTTTTGGCTTCTTCGAGATGTATCCGCACAGCTAGAATTACGCTCCTAACTAAACCTTGTTTCGTTAAAGTCTCCAGCTAGAAGCCAAGGTTTATTATTTCTATTCGCAAATTCCGCAAGTTCATTCCAAAGCTCAGTCCTTTTTGAGGGATCGGGACTAGCATATATGGCTGAAAAATACCGTGGTTCTTCACCTATTTTTGTGATTTCCATAGTGATGTATTGATTTCTCTGCTCAATTGGATCCACTGTAACCAACTTGGTTTTCCAATACACCCAAATACCACCACTAAAACCTTGGGCATCAATTCTAGTGTGACCATTGTATCCCATGTGTGTTTCCATCAGGGCTAGCACAATGGGTTTATTAATTCGGACCACCTCACGGAGGACTTTAAGGAACTCTTTATTGCCTGCTTCCTTGAACATTCCAGACCATGCACGTTATGGGATAGGAATTAGTATGCATATTATGATTGTTTCGGTTGAAAACAATGGGACCTTGCCGAAGGTCCACTAAAATGGAGAAGACTGGATTCGATCCAAGCTGTGTTGGGCCGAAGGTTTCCTGCACAGTGAACACACGTAAACTAGCCTCGGGGGTGTTTCCGAGGAAGGCCCCTCCGATGCTAAAGTCAGTACAATGTGTAAAAAGGAAGACACTATGCAAGAGAGTTTGTAGCTTGAGGCTTTTGTGGAATATTCCTGAATGCAAGAATGAGCATATGAGTTGGAATAATCCGTGTATGAGATAATGCATGTGTTGTTGTTGTGTCTGATCTCGTATGTGATGTTATGAGATGTCCTCTTGAATGTGTTAATATGAGGGCTTTTATACCTCATCATATTTGGAGAGGTTGGGCTTTAGCCCAATTGGCTTACTTTGTGGGCTGACTTTTGACTTTTGAGCAATTGGAGAGTTGAACCTTGACCTTGGGCTTTTAATTGGATCATTTAGTGCTCCGGCCCAATTTTGACTAAATTGGACCCAAACAACTTGCCCCCCAGACCCGATTTGGAAGAATGACGGGTCGGGTTTGATTTAACTCAGAAAAGGAGGGAAGTAAATGATTTAATTGATCCAAAAATTTGAATTTAAACCGTAATTAATGAGATAACAACGGTTAATGATTTGCGGAAGTTGGACGGATAATGGGCAGTTTAATCACAAGACATGTGTTTAATGGTTACTTAGTGGGTACTTAAGAGAAATTAAAGCACAGACTCTTCGTATCCCGTACCTGGAGATATAAACAGAGGCGCGTCATTCTCCTCACTTATTCACCAACACAAACCCAGAATTCTTCGAGAGAGAAACCGAGAATCCGTGTCAAAACTTCGCAAATTCCCCCGAGCATTGAGCTTAGAAACTGAGACTTGCCACTACGAACTCGTAAATCGGCAAATTTCGCTTCAGATTAAGGTAAATTCCTTTGATTTCAGTTTATTTTTCTTCGAATTCGAACTCCTTCCCTTTTTCTTTCGACTTTTCTCTTCGAAATAGTCCATGGCAAGAGGAGTTAGAGGTAGAGCCCGTGCTCCAAGAAGAGCAAGGCCGATTCCCGATCCTAGGAATAGGATTGGGACCTGGAATGGTCGAAGGCCGGAGTCTGACCCTGCTGATGGGATTAGGGCGACTCCCCTTTCCTCGGCTCCTCCTCAAAGAACGGATGAGCCGAGTGCTTCTGGACGGGATGATGAAATTCCCGCTGTCCTTTGGGATATCCTCCCTGGGTTTTCAGAGTGGGAGAATGCCGAAGTCGCTTCGGCCATGATAAAGAACCGCCCCTACTCATGGTGGGTAGAGAACGCCGATCAATATCGATTTGCTGAGCAAATTGAGTTGCACTACGGCATTTTTGAAGCTGATGGATATTGGTGCCGAATGCCCTCAGCATCCGATAGAATCCATCGTCCACCCCCGGGGTATGTGGGGGTGTACACGAGACAGCTTCAGTATGGGCTGAGGTTCCCTTTGGACGTTTTCGTCCGAGACTTGCTGATCCATTACAACATTTCCCTATGTCAGCTAACCCCCACCAGCATCCGAAGGGTGATGACATACTTATGGGTCTGCAAGTTCTTCAGATACGTGCCGAACCTGCACTGCTTCAGAAAGCTCCATCGGCTAGTGCCAAATATTCAGAGTGGGCACGGAAGCCATGGTTCTGGGTGGTATCGGATTGAGTCCCGGCCCCAATACTTGACCATGTGGCCAAATGACTCTTCAGACAAGGACTGGAGAGGTCAATGGATTTGGGTTAGGGCACCCATAGATCCGGGCCACCCTTGCGTCTTCAGCGCTCCCCGGTACTTAGCTGAGCCTGATCCCGAAATGGGAAGTTTAGGTCCCCCCGCAGATAACGGGGCGGATCCGAACCTGGATCAGCAACATATCTTCGGCAAGCTGCCGAACCCGGGGGGGAGTGGTCGAATGCAGCATATCCCGGAGACTTGGCTCCCCGATACGCATTACGTTTTCCAAGAGAATATGCTAGCAGCTGTTGGCCTCAGCCGAAAGTTTAAGGATGGTAAGCTTCTTCGGCTGGGGCCGAGGCTTTTAACTACCTCTTTTTCTTCTCTCGCTTTGCTTTTTTATGCTGTGCCAACATATCTGAGCTAAACTTTTTCCCTTTCCTTTTTTCAGAGCGAGACGAGACCAACGTTGGTATTAACTACGCTCGTCTTGGTGTTAACCGAGAGCGAGTTGTAACTGAACGGGCCCCGTCTATCACTGAGCCGAGGCATAGGGAAGTTCATCTGGACTCTTCCCACTTCCAAATTGAGGCTGTTGCTCTGTATCAGAGGCAGAAGCCTTGGTGGAAGAAGAGAGACCCTTGGTTTCAGCTGCTGAACGAAGAAGCTGAAGCTGCCCGCACAGCCGAAGAGGTTGCACGGGTACTTGAGGCTTGTGAAGGAGGAGAAGGGTCCTCCAGAGCTGCTGAAGCCGAAGTTGCAGCTAGAGCAGCTGAAGAAGACGAGGCTTTGCTGAAAACCTCGGTGAGCTTTCAGACAACTTTTTTCTTTTCTTTTTTTTTTTTTTTTTTTTTTTTTTTTTTACTCACACTCTTCTTCCCCCCTGTCTGTTACAGTCTGAAGAGAGTAACAGACACAGAGAAGGCAAAGCTCCTGTTCGTCCCGAAGATCAAATACAAGAGTCTTCAGACTCAGATATGGACGAGCAGCCCCTTCTGAAAAGGCGCCGAAGGATGGCCATCATCGGCCCTCATGACTTTCAGCAGAGGCCGATGACCATCGGCGTCGCAATAAGGGAACCTGAGGAAGGCAATGGATCGCCGAGGGTTCCCCAGCCAACACCCCAATCTCCTCAAAAGACCCCTCCGCCACCTCCTGAGATGGAGGTGGATCAGAGGACTCCCGAACCTAAGGGAGGGGTCCAAGAAGAAATCAAGGAGAGTGCTGCTGAGCACGGAAATAAAGATGCCGTGATGTCAAGTGCTGAAGGCTTCACGGCAGATATCGCAAGAGAGGTTGAGGCTTTCGTCCTCACCCCTGAAGAAGAGGAGGTCATAGTACTTGACTCCTCTGAGAAGGACGATGCTGAGACAACCAAAGCTAATCAAGCTCCATCGTCGTCCTTCCCTTCTTTCCAGACTCTGCATTCTGGAGAAATGGGTTTCTCGGCCCCCCGAATTCCAATCCCAGATCACATCTGGGACCTCATATGGGGTCAAAACCGAGAAGGAGCTGAAGCCTACTTCGGCAGTTTTGCTGGCATGTCCGAAGTAGACAGGGCAAGGATCTGGTCGCTGAAGGCCACTGCTGGGATGGGCGAATCCAGTAGATCAGTTCCTGACCCAGCCAGGTCTAACCAACTGCTGATGATGCAGGTAATTTTCCTTCATTTCCTCCGAAATTCAGCTCTATATTTTTTTTTTTTTATTACTTATTTTTTTTTTGTCTTCCTGTTTTCAGTTCGTGCACAATCAGACTCTCACTGTTGAGCTGATTGATACCCTACAAGATAGGGTAGACGCTGCTGTGCACGAAAGGAAGGTGGCTGAAGAGGAAGTTAAGCTTGCTAAGCTGAAGCAAGCAGCAGCTGAAGAGAAGCAGCAGGAGGTTGAGGAGTACGGTAAAAAAGCTGCCGAAGCTCTGAAAACCTTCTGCGATGCTATGGAGATGGAGATTTTTCCCCCACTGATGGAAGGGGAAAAATTCCTCCAGGAGCATATGGGAGTGGACGTCTCCAAATTCAAGGCTGCTATTGAGAGCCGAATTCAAGAAGGAACTGCTGCACAAGCTGAAGTGCAGCAGCGTCTAGAGGCTCTTGAAGCCAGCCGAATGGCTGTTGAAGAGTTGCTCTTGGCCAAAGACGTCCAACTCTCAGAGGCTGCTGCTGCTGCTGAAGCTCAAAGAGCTAAATTCCAAGAGGCTGAGGATCAACTGCTGATCCAGAAAGTTGAAGTGGCCCAAGCTCAGACAAAGGCTTTCCAAATTCAGCGAGAGCTGAATGAGCTGAAGGGTTCCTCCTCCAAAGTCGCTGATGAGCTGAAGAAATCCAAGGAAGACTTGGAGGAGACCCAGAAGAAGCTGGCTGATGCTGAGGCTTCACTCAAGGTCCGTGTCTATACCCAAGAGGAATATGAGATGGGTTTCAGAAACGGATTCCGAGTATGCCGAAGAGTCTGCCTTCATGCCGAGCCGAAGCTGGACTGGTCTAAATGTGCTGAGTGGGTCCAGAATCCCGAAGACCCTCACATGAAGTATGCAACTCCAGCTGAAGCTGAAATTCTTAAGGCTGAGGAAGCCGAAGAGGAAGCTGAAAGACTGGAGTTGGAAGCTGAGCAGAGGGAAAGGGAGGCTCGGCAAAGTGCAAAGCCCGCCTCTTCTGCTGCTGGGGCTGAGGCCACCATGGGACTCAACGCTGATCAGTCTGATCCCCCGGCTGAAGCATAGGAACTCGGGCAGTCGTCTTCAGAATCTTGCGGTTCATCATGTGCTTAACTTTAGACTTGCCGCTTTCTGAGTTTTTTGCCTTGTTTTTTGCTTCAGCTTGCCTTGTCGTACAGCAGTTTTATTTTTTTGCTTATGTACGTATTTCGGCAGCTGTTATTTTCCGCTTGTGGGCGGCTGCCGATACTGAATTATTGAACTTGTAGCTCAATATTTTTTTCTTCAGTTGCTTTATTTTTGAATGCTTTACTGTTTCTTTTCTTCAACTCTGCCGAACATAGCTGCACTGCGTGCTTCTTGCCCCCACAGAAATTGAAGTATGACTTTAGTTGAATAAGCAATTTCTGAACTTCTTCAAAATAGATATCCGAAACACAGGGCCAACTTAAGGCAATGCTTCTGGGATACAAGTCTTACTGAAGATTGACTGTCTGAAAGTTGGATATCCGAAACACAGGGCCAACTGAAGGCAATGCTTCTGGGATACAAGTCTTACTGAAGATTGTCTGAAA